GTCAGAAGGATCTTGCGGACATTGTCGTTTCCGAAAACAGTGACGGATGAGACATTGGAAACATTTCTCGTGGAGTCGGAAAGGATTTTAAACAGTCTATCGCTGGTAAAGTCAACAGAAAATGGTGAAGACTTATATGCGCTAACACCAAATAAATCATTGTTACTTCATTAACAACCGGCTTCCTAAGGCAGTAGAATGTGAGGGTATAATAAAAGATGGAGAGAAACGCGACGTTTGACTGATTTGTTCTGGAGTAGTTGGCTCTATGAATACCTTCCAATTCTGCAAGGAAGTTGAAGTAGTTAGGTATGAAGAGAAAGCTACAGTCCGATGGTCTTGTCCTAGTTAGCAGTACTAACACTCCAAGAGGTCTGTGGCCAAAGGCTATAGATAAGTCTAGTCCTATAACATAGCAGCTTTTGCCTTCTATCTATAACTCCAAGTCAATCTGAAGAGTTATGTTCAGCCAGATCACTTCGTAACTTATAATTGATTTTGTTTAGGACGTGCACAGTTGAACGAAGAATCCACGAAGTAGAATGAGATCGCATTATCCTGACTGCAAATATTTTCGTTCCCCCTTCATTCAAAAATGTAAATTTTCTCCCCTAACTCAACCCTAACGTCAATCTGTCCGTAATGCCTCCCTAACTAGGCTACCTTAACCCTAATCTTTGCCTAACCTAAAGCTAATTTTACTTTGCCGTCTGACTGTCAGTGTGCTCCAAGATCATTGGTATGCTGTGTTCACGGCATTCGGGTATCTCTAAGGTTTAACTTCATCCTATCTCCCTCTCACACCTTTCTGTTCATGATGGCTCCATTGGAATTTCTTTTTCGCTCCTACCATTTTTGTGCGTGCCACATGGAGAGTGTGACAAAACATGAACTGCTACTAGTGCACTTCACTATGAAAAGATATGCAGGAGCGTGTAACTCTACTCACCCTTGCAAGTGGTGAACCGGTTGAAGTTGTCGATGAGTTTGTGTGACGAACGGGAGCTGTAACGGTTTCCTGAAAGTTATGTTTGAATGGGAGAATTTGGGCCAATTACCATCGTCACTGCGTCAAGGTGACTGTCAGTGCTGGGGTTTGCAATGCGCACAGTCGTGCTCTACATACGTTCGGAATCTGGCCTCTCTGGGTGGGCTGAACCAGTTCGGCAACTCTACCAATTAGATCATAGCCATCGCCATAGAATTGCTTGAATCCAATGTCATTATCTAGTAAGTAATTCTGAGGTCCAGCAGCGTGTATCTGGACACAGTGGAGACCATCACTCTTTGATTGTCGTAGTCATCTGGAAACGTTGGCTTCGGTGGCTCGGAAATGTATGCGCTATGATCGTCATCCCACACATTCCCGTACCGGTCTCGGTTAGCTGGCCCTTGGAGTGGATGGAAAGAGTAGAGAGGTGGTCAGCCTAATATGTCACGTCGCTGGATGAAGGATATTGGTATCAGGTTAGCGTCATCATTTGGTGCATCACGACTCCTTGGTTGGAGTCCGAGATATAATTCTAATGGATAGCTGTCTCATAACATTATCATGTGACTAAGAATCATAATCAGTGGCTGCAGTTTGCTTCACTCATCTTTTTCAGACAGTAATATCACGAATGTTGTGTAATATTGTCAAATTTACTTGCTTCCTTTCTGGATCAATTCCTTCATTCATTCTTGGGGCTTATAGTGTGTACAAAGTCCTGTGTTTCAACTTAATAATGCGAAGATCTACGCTGATGACTAACTCAGTTTCTTTATAAGCACATCACATAAAAACAAACATAGAATTGGATTTGACGTATTTCTCCTCCGACAATAATCCCTATCGGTCGATGACTTACATCACGAAAACAGTAGAAGGAATCGAGAATTTGCAGAAAATGTCCGAATTCATATACACCAGTATAAATGAATTCCGCCAACCATTTCAGTAGAAGCTAACTGAATCTTCTTCAATGAGCTTCCCTTATTCTATGTAATCTGAAGGGAGTGAGCGATTGCATCCCCAGAGATGGTAGACTCATGGGTACGTCCTGTAGTGCTGCTAATGAAGAGACCAGTCTCTAAACTAGGCCTACGAAACAGTTATACAGTGGTCTTTCTGATATTGGTAGTTTCCTCCTTTAATGATTCCCTATCTGACTGGAACGTAACTGTCAGCTAGCCCGTCGTCAAATTAGAAAGAAATAAGAACAATTCGTACAACTAACTATGGAGCCATCACCTTTCTCGATGAGCAATTTTAGTGATTATATAGGTTTAGGTTGAAAAAAGAGTTAGGAATGTGGAGGTGTTCAAAAACAAAACCCAGTATCTATCTGTATGGCCTTGAAATAGTTGGTCTGTACCAACCATATAGAAGGGCGTAGGGTGCCTGGTTAGCTCAAGAATCCTTGAGATGCTAAGAGTCAGTGAATTGGGAATGTTATGGCTTGAAATAACGCAGATCCATTGAACTCATGTTTTTCAATGTTACTATTCTTTCTCTTCATTCAACCACAGCTGTATGACAATGCCATATATCAAGTGATCCACAACGGATAACTCAGAGAAGCCTAAGTTTGTAGAGAACACGGGAGTAAGACGAAACTGCTTCCTACTATCACCGATGTGGTCGACTGGAATCTGAGATAGACCGTGTGTCAGGAGCAGTAAGACAGGAATATGTTGGGTTGACAAGAAGAGGAGATCTGGATGATTCATATCTAATCTCAAACAAACTCGAAGATCTACAGACAAAAACCAACAAACTGGCAAGAGAAGCAGTGAAGACAGGAATACAAGTAAAAATAAAGAAGACGGATTTGATGAAAACAAAATAACTAAACAACAATAACAAGCACCAATAACTATCAGCGGGATAAATTTGAGAGGCAACTTCCTTTCTTCACTTATCTGGAGAGCATCGTTTCAACTGCAAGCGAACGATACCGATGATGATGGGAAAACCGACAGCATCGGATAGGGAAGACAGACCTTCATCATTCCAAAATCGGTTTGGTAATTTTCTGCACTCCTCCCCAGCATAAAGAAATAAAATCGGGATTTTCAACATGAATGTTAAGTCATTTCTGATGTATGGGTCAGATAATTGGCGCGTACATCATGAAAAGCATTTTTAACAAGCTACTGTAGACTTTATCAACAGTTAGTCGCCTTCACTGGTTCCATACTGAAGATCAGATGTGTGGCCAGAAAGAATTAGAAACAAGAAAGCCCAGGCAGGAATTAATGGATAACCTGAATGGGAAATGACGAGTTGGGCTTTGGTCTGAAGATGACATGGAGGTGATCGTTTTGGGAGGAGATGAGAGACTATGAGAAATCGTGGGGCCAGTCAGCTGAAAAGGAAATGCAGAAAATAGGACAAATCGGAAATGCGCTCCAATAGAAGCCCTATGCTTCCCGCTTAAGAAAAATAGTACAATAAATATTCAAGAATGAAATATCGTTACTGATCACTTTAGTGTTTGTATCCATGACTTTATTTTCCTATGGAGCAAACCACAAAACAATCGTACACAACGTCAAATCGATAGACGTATTATGGAACGTTCCCTATCTCTCCAGCTCGGCAAACCAGGTTCGCCTTCTGTTTTACACAATAATCCTGTCCCAGTAAGTATTTTACAAGAAGCAAGTTAAATTTGCATTTCCAGTTGACTGACCGATTGCTACATTGATATTGAATTAAAATTTTCAGTACCTATGTTGACATGCCGCAGCCACCTAGTCGACGATGTCTGGGAGTTAACACGCTCATCCTTTTTTAGTGGAAAGTGACGAGCACAGTGAAGGATCCAGAATGCGCATTTTGTCTTAGTCAGGACTCATCATTGAAGCTGGATATACCTGCAATTGCCAGTGACAGAGCGAGTGGGTGACTTGAACCCTATTGGATAACGATCTAATTGCTGTTAAACGTGCGTGCTGACTTGGAGTTTCAGTGACGAGTCCCAACTGGCACGACTCCATATAAAGTGCTTGCCAGCAAAGTAACCATTGTGAACCAAGCAAAATAACATGGGGACATCAGTACAATTTAAACATACAGCTAACTAATTATTCCTCATTCTTTCCAAAGAAAATAAAGAAAACATTTTCGGCTAACAAAAAACCACGTAATGTTCACATTAGATCATAGGAATTATTAAAGATGGTTTTCTGAGAAGAAACCTTCCTTTCCGACGAAGTAGTCCTCAAACAGGCTGTACATTCGTGTATTTATCAGAACACTTTCCAGAGTGTTTAACGAAGAGAGAACGCAAAAGTGTACATAATTTAGTAACATAGCATCTGTTGAATTTAGGACATTCAGATCCATTCAATGAAAAGTCCTTCAAAGTCATGTACAAGATCCGGTGAAACCTCTTTCTTAAAGGGAGTGAATTCAAGGCCTCTGGGAATAGCTGAGGCACCAGCAATCTAAGAGTTCAAGCCAACGCTATGTATTCACCAAAAGAAATACCTCTAACCGTTGTTGTCCCTAACATGGCCACCATAAACAGTCAATTCTTCCAACAGTCATTATCCTATCACTTTTCTTGTCCAATCTTCTTGTTTATTTGTGTTACATTTACGTTTTTTAAAATTCCTATCTGCATTACTGTGTTTTATATCTGAACTTACTGCCTATTTTGTTAATACTACACTCTTAATCCCTAATTGGACAAACAGTCAAGTTTCTCAGTGATTGTGATCGGGTTTACAATCCTTCAGTACACATAGTCGTCTTCTATACACCTGTGAAACCGAACTTTTTATCCATTTTGTTATTACCACGTCTTTAATTCCTAAGTGCACAAAAAAGTCAAGTATCTCAGTAATTATGATCTTGCTGTCTTTTACCCGATCATCCTGTCTATCACACTTTGTAATCTTATTAATTTGACGTTTGACCGGAAACAATTCGGGAACTTCCTTGCCCATTTACTACAAATACACGAAAGAACAAAAAACGCACAGAATTTTTTTTCACTCCGTAGTTTACAGTTGAAAGAAATAAAAAAAAAATTCGGAGCACAAAAATTAAGGGGCATAAAATCAATAAGTGTTATACAAGAAAAATAAACAGACAGGCGGGCAGACAAACAAACACACGCGTGTACACACACACACAGATATTCTCGCTTAACTGTTATTCATTAAAACCTTTCTTTTATTAACTACTTTTTCGTCGTTGTTCGTCTAGATGTCACCGTTGCTGTCCCACCAGAAGAACTTGAAGCACTACTGATAGCAGTATTAGTCCCACTGCTGTAGTGATAGTGACTTGATCCTTCTGAAGTTGCAGTATTACTACTATTACTATTAGCACAACTACCACCGCCGTTATTTTGACGTGATTTTTCACCAGATTTACGCTTATTCGTCGATGACTTCTTATTGTTGCCTGCACCGATCCCACTACCACCGAATAACGACAGGGAGGAGAGGAACTGTGAATAATAGAAAAACAAATTGGAAAAGAAAAGCATTTTGAGAGGTTTGATCGGATATTGGAGAGGGATTTTTTCAAAAGGGTTTCTAAGAAAAAATGTAGCTGAGTCTCCTAGCTCCATCAGATACAAAACTTTTCACTTGTGTGTGTTACCTTCGCTAACCACCAGGCTAGGTGATAATGTCCTCACCAGTGCGTTTGTTTTTCCGTAAGCGGAGGCATGTCATTGATTACAGTTAGTCACTGCAGTATTCAGCTTTACAGGAGTTAGGGATGTTAACTCACTCATTTATACACAATGTTATGATGTGGCACCAATGACTAATTGTGCTCAGATATATGCCTATGGATGACTACAGTCAGAAAATGTGAATGATTTTGCATAGAAAGCAAGTTTATGTTCAGCTTTGAAGATAGTCTTTTTGTTCAGTGAAGACGGGAAGGGGAGTTCTCTCTTAGTATTTCTGCCGATGAGTCTCCATTGAGAATTTGAGATTCACATAAACTTTTCTGTGGAGGGGGAGTACAAGCAGAAAGTGTACGCAATTTTAGTGTTGTTGGGTTTCATGGAACTTTGCAATGATGAAGCGGCATTCGGACTTTGCGATTTTCAATGAGAATCTACCCCAACCCCACCCTACTTAGAGTCTTCCAGCTCCTTTTCCATTGTGTTTCAGGGATGGAAATGTGACAGTGGATGCTGTGCGTCAACCAGTGGATCAGGTTTATTTTTATATATATAAAGACATCCAACTGTAAATGGTTGTATGTTGTCCATTCCATGTCGGTCTTCCGTGGATGGATCTTTTGTACCTTGTTAACTGAACATCCAGGAAGAATAATTTTCGAATTGGACTTTTTCCCTGGCGTGAATAGAATGAGATATTAAAAGCTATTGAAGAAATCAAGAATATCTTCCAAATTTTCTCTTCACTATTGTAGTTAATGAAAGTATCATCCAGGTATCTCTCGCTTGTAAAACCCAAAGGTATCGAATAACGTTCAGAAATCCACAGGAGATCTTATACACCAGATTAAGCCGTTTCTAGGTGAGTTCAATTTAATGCCCATAATTAATAACCCTAGTAGGATGTATGGTGTTGTTAAAGTTCATGAGTCAGGATACCCTATTAGGCCTATAGTTGATTTTACAAATTCACCTACTTATGAATCATCTAAATATTTAGCCATGGTATTAAATCCCCTAAAAATCCACTCGAAATCTAGACTAACTAATTCTTATGAACTAAAACATAGATTAGATAATTTAAAATTAGATAATGAAGAAAAAATGGTTAGTTTTGACATTGTCAGTTTATATACACGTATACCAATAAATATGGCTATAGAAGCAGTCAGAAACGAACTCATTTCTGACTGAGAACTCGAACTTAAAACAAAAATGCCATTAGAAGACATATCACTAGGAGTTCAACTATATGCCTGACTTCTGAAGTATTTAAATTCCAAGGAAAAATATACAATCAAACTGAGGGAGTTGCCATGGGATCACCAATATTGCAGATTGTGCCAGATATATTCATGGATAGGTGGGAAAATTTAGTGATTGAAACGTTCAGTCCTACCCACCCAAAAGTATGGTGGAGATATGTAGATGACACATTCACTGTACTTAGAAAATAGGATATAGACAGATTTTCCAAACACATTAACTCAAAGGTGGAGGCAATTCAATTCACTTATGAATTGGAAAGTCAGGAAGGGGATTTTAGAGTAAAAAGAGAAGGTGGGAAGTTAAACACTAGTGTTTACACAAAACCCACACATTTAAACAGATATTTGAATTTCGGATCATACCCACACCATAAGTCAGTAAAAGTAGGACTGGTGAAATGTTAAAGTAGTAGGCCACAAAAACTAAGTAGTACCAGGAAGTCATGCATATAAGAGAAGCTTTGAAACGTAATAATTACCCTGCAAATTTAAAAAAGAAGTATGTAGGAAAGTGGAAAAATAAAATTAATAGTAATAGTGTGGTGTTGTGATACAGACAATAGGTTCCTACGGAATATTTTTCTCACAGTAAGAATCATTGTATTTGTTGTTGTTAACGTCTGAATACTTTTCCCACAGTTCAACACAGCATTAGCGAAAGAATCCTAAATGTATTTGAACATTCTATTTCATGTTGTTTAATGTAAACCAAAATCACATTATCAGTGATTACTTAAAGAATATAAACTGCATAGATATAAATGGCAGTTTGATCACTTGAAAATATATCTTGGCTTCCGTGGCTTGCCTTCTGATGGTACAATAGTAGTGATAGTGATGATAACAATAATATTGGTGACGACATGTATGTCAAACATTCACAGAATGACGCGACGTCACCTACAATAGGGAATATAAATCATCAGTAGTACTTCCATACGTGGCAACTCGAACTGCTGCACTTCGGTGCCAAGTTCTATGTTGAATCCAGCAGCAGCAGCAGCCATACAAAGAAGGAACCACGGAAACCTCACGGAGAATTCTTAACAATACAGACAGGAATAACAGTGGCTGGCATTCAAACCAACCACAAACTCAATTAGAAACAAGCTTTGTTGGTTAAGGCATCCTGTGGAGCCAATTTAACAAAACTATTTAGTTTATCTAATACCCTGCTGGAATGATTGTCAGGTCAAAATGGTAGGACAGGGTTAGTCACCCAGACTAGTGGAGCAGCCCAAAAACCTAGCAAAATCTAGATTAACTGACCGTAATAAGACAAGAAATCTGGAGAATAGTTCAGCTATAGTACTTCACATCCAGTCACACTCACTAAAAGGATGGGGCAAAATTGCAGTTCTAAAATCTAATATAACAGAGTTGAGGGAGCAGGATTGGTAATGGAAGGTTTATTAATCATCGAATCAACTGATGGAGAACACGTGGAACACATTCAAGATCTTTCTGAGACATCTGGAAAATTCTACTACCACTACAACGAACAGGGAGAAATAAAGAAAACTGCAAAACGAAAGTTTCGAAGTTGTAGAGAATAACAATTGATGATATGACTGTGAGCAAAAATAAATTGTGTTCGAAACCTTATCATGCAGTAAATAATGCTGTTTCACTCACTGTGTGATATATCTACAATAAACAAATTAGTATGGAATTACACACTACCATAGTGCTGGCCAAGTTTTACGCACATAATAGTAACAGTGGTAGTAGACGAGGATTGAGAGGGAAGGAAGGTTGGGTATGAGTGACTGCGAACCCCAAGCAACACCCCATAAAAATACAACTTTAAACCAAATTATAGAGGAAGAAATTGACACAGAAAGTGGGAGGAACAGAGAAAAGCACCAGGCGCTCACTTACCTCACTCATATCAGGTATCTGCTGTTGAGGATTCAATATATTCATCTGCTGCATTTCTTTTTGTAACTCCGGATCACTAGTGTTGACTAATTTTGTGAGTACCATGACTAATAACAATGGGACTACTACATAGAGAACATTTGGATTCAATAAGAGATCCAAAGTGCGCAACTGCTCACGAGCCTATAAAAAAATGCATACATGAATAAAAGCGAAAGATTTGGACACGCGAGAGCGTACAGAAGAGATATTTAAAAGATCTATAGTGAGAGGAAATGTGTACACCTTAGAACACTTCTAGTTTCCAACCGTCATTCCTGCTTATCATCCTGAAATCCTTAGCCAGTAACCAACCAAACCAGTCTATACTTACCAAATGATTATCAATGACTTTGTAGATTTAAGACTCAAATGTTACTTCGCAGGTGGGGGGATTTGATTGGTTAGAGGTTTGAGATCACGAGTTAACATCAATTAGAGAACCGCTGAGAAACCAGACACAGGGAGTACTGGACAGCTGTTTTGTCAGCCTAGGCTGGGACTGTTTCTTCAGCGGTACGCACCCACTGGGGTTTGGACCCATGATCTACCTTCCTGTTATAGGGAGACCACTACGTAGACCAGTCAGCCACTGGGACCCGGCCCAGTGGTCTATGCATGAACTCCAGCTCCTGTCCACCGGCGATCTATATAACGCAACTACCAGCCATAGTCAGTGGAGAGTGCTTGTCCTCACTCCCGACAACTTGGTGGGCCCCACACTTGTCACGACTTACCAGAACACTTCAGATAACCTCGTTCTGTAGCCGGTTACTAGCGAGCATCGGACTAATTTTCAGGATTTAGTTTATAGGGTGGGGGGAGTATTTGATTTGTTTCAAGTTTGTTATCATGGACTGATAACAGTTGCAGAACCATTGATGGAAGCCACTAGGGATCTAAAAGTGGATATTCAGGATACGAGGCTCGCTCATTGACTATTCAGACATTTGAACGCAGTCCAATAACACATCAATCCTATAACTCTTATCAATTCGCAATTTTTAAAACCAATGTCATTGGCGGGAAGTATTTGTTTCCACATCTGACGACTTGGTCGAAACCACACTTGTCACAACTTCTCACTAAATCTCCACAGGCAACTTCCTCCTGTAGTCAGTCACTCATTAACTAGTGATCAACAAATTAATTTTTAAGTATGTCAGTTTGCACAGATATTCGACTAGTTTCCATTCCAATGGCTGGCTGAGAACTGTCAATGAGTTTGCCTAGTGACCTGAAGGTTCTGGGTGAGTACTGTTAAGTAGCAGTCCCAAACTAGGCTGACGAAACAGCGATCAAGTACACCTTGTTGGTAGTTTTCAATGGTTCTTCAATTGTCATATCAATCCGTGATCAAACTTGAAACTATAATTATGACAAATAATTCATCATTCTTTGTTACTATCCTTTTCTATGTTGGAAAATAAAAGCGAATAGCATACCAAAATGTGATTGATTGTATGGTTGAAGAGTTGAAAGTGAATTCGCTGAAAAATAACTAACCTATTTGTTAAACACTGCTTGCGCAGATGAAAATTATTCATGTTATTATTACTGTTTCCTTGAGTCCTCAAGTGAAACATAGGGCTTCGACCGGGGGACATCTCTACTTCAATCTGTTTTCTTTTTTGCAGTCGTCTTTAGTTGGTTCTGAGTCTGCTCATCTGGAGCACACACCACATTTCACCCTGTTCTCTGCAGTCATCTTTATTTAGCTGTATAATTATCCATCACTTATTATCTCCTTCTCCTCCTCACACGACCTCCTCTACTTCACCCTCGAGCGATGCCCTGGAGTGAGACGTCATTCAACGGTCTCCTCAGAGTGTCCTATCCATCAGTCTCCATTTTCTTCAGAATATCTGTTGAGCAATAGATTCTTTGTTGGTTTGTTCCAAGAGTTGCTTGTTGCTAAATCCTTCTGGCCACATAATCTTCGATAGACAGCCAGTGAAGTTATTCGTTGATAAAAGTCCATCACAGTAACCTGTTAGAAATACTTGTTGTGATGCTTTGGACAAGTTTCTCACTCATAAAGAAGAACTGACTTCACATTGGTGTTGAAAATCGGAATTTTGTTCCTTAGGCTGAAGCGGAGTGGAGAAGAGTGATGAAGATCTGTCTTACCTCTCCAATTCTGGTTGGTTTCGACATCCTTAACTGTGCCCACCGCCTGTAGCTGAAACAAAGCTATCTGACCAAATAAGTGAAGGAAGTAACATCTTTCAAATTTATTCCGTTGATAGTGATTGGTGCTTCTTGTAGTTGTTGGTTGGCTGTCTTCATCACCTTGGTCTTCTATGTTCACTTGAAGTCCAGTCTTCTCTGGCTGCTTCTTCTACAACCTTGTTGGTTTTCGTCTGTAGATTTTCCAGTTTGTGCGACATTAAACAAAAATCATCCGCGTGACGTACAGATGTTCTACAGTCTTCTTATCGGTCCAACGTGTTTCTGTCTTCTCGCCACGTGATCCGCAGCCGACTGCTACCGCAAGCAGGAATATTATCATCATCGGTAATAGTAGGAAGCATCCTTGTCTTACTGATTTCTGTCTCCATTCCACAGTTAGGCTTCACTGAGCTTTCCGTTATGGACCAACCAACTGACACATGGGGCGTTTTCATATAGTTGCGGTTGAATGAGGTTGACAAGGATTTGGGCACTGTATGCCATAGTGTTGAAGTAGATTCATAAGTACGCTTACCTTAAAATAGATGGCTTTCCCAGAGCTAGTAAGACGTAGTGGATAGGGGATCTCTTTGACAGCATTTGGTTGTGGCGCATTCAATTGACGTGCTCTAATACGACCTTTAGAACTGATATCAACACGGACACCCTAAAAGAAGAAGAAGAAGAAGAGAAAATGATAAAAATATTGATTCTGCTTCCTCAAGTGTACATAAAATTAACTCATCACAAAAATCAGATACTCAATTACAACAATAATGACAACCCAATAACACACGCAAAAAGAGTTGCATACAGACAGTATTCAAGAGAGCCAGGGGTTTATTGCAGCACTCTTGTTTGCTTTGAGGAAAACTGAAGAAAAATAAAATCTTATGGACATCTTCCAAAAGAATAGATATTCACGAAAATTCATTAAAAGACATCTACCTCTAAGCCAACCAAGCAAATCAAAGGTTCCCAATGAAAACACAGAGAAAATCGTCTTACCATATAAATAAAGAATTTCTCAAAACTATTCAAACCTTTAGGAATTGATTTCGTACACAAATCAACAGAATCACATAATTAGGGTGGCTCTATGTCAACCAAAAGACAGGAGGAACATTGGTGCGGAATAACATGAATGCACTTTTGCCAGATGGCTAGAGGCAGTGAGCAGACAGAAAGTCCCACCTATACACATTAGGTTTCGTGCTTGTTTGCACTCACCAGTCAATTATGGCAAGGTGTATCTGATACCGCCTTGAAGGAATTAACCACATCCCTTCTCAGATTTGAACCCGGGTCACTCAGTGCTGTAATCAGAGACACGTCACCACTGAGCTATTCAGCCTCACGATTTAACCACCTCTTCAAGTCTGTAGTGGATATTTTGATGATTGGATACTGTAGGTTACAGAAAGAACGGTTATACAAGTCTAAAGACAAATCTAGTCTGAGAAGGACGAACATCTTGATCAAACGTGAAATGCCAAGTCTGAACATTACTTATAACCTAAGACCTTTGTCATATAAAACTTCCCCGAACATGTGGAAACTCTTGAATGAAATTTACTAGTAGTAGTGAGCAAAGTATTGCTGTTCCCTTTGTTTAATTTAAATACTCTTAAAAAGTCTTCCACATATTCTTCTACTGACGTTATCATTCCTAATAATACAAATAATGAGGTTAGTGACTTCGGTGGTCTTAACATTGTTGATGTTCTCAAGTGTGTGAAATTTTTAAAACCTTCCCAAAGCCGTGGTCCTGGTGGTGTACCTGCTGTTGTCCCCAGAAGATATGCGGTTATTTTATGTTACCCTATTATAAACATTTTCAATATCTCCTTTTCCAGTAATTTTGTACCTGAAGCATGGAAAGAAATTAAAATTATCCCGGTACCTAAATTTTTTTCTAGTATTGATGTTAAATTCAAACCTGTGCCACTACCTCTTCTTTTTTTGAAGTTAATGGAAAAATTAGTTTTACTCAACCTTGAACCTTCCTGGAAAAATATTAACGACCCCAAACAGTTTGCTTATAAATAGGGCAGGAGTATTATATATGTTGCTGCTGCTGTCTTACACCGTATGATATAGTTTCATCCTTAGATGAAGGGGCCACATATATCCGACGTACCCTCCTTGTCTGCGCATCTGTTTTTGACTCTGACTTGTTTACTGAAGCTGGTTTTCCCTCAAAGTGCTACTCTTTCTCCTTCTCTTTTTCTTTCCTTTTTACATGACTTGTCTCTTTAGGAAGAAAACAACTTCTTTAAACACACTGAAAACGTGGATATCTCGCTGCCAGTTACGTCTCGATCTAACTGTTTCAAACTGAATGGCTTTTTCTGGGATATCAGCCAGTGGTCTGGGCTAAATGGTCTTAGCTTAAATACCTCTAAATGTCAAACTATTGACTTCACCTTTACGCATAAAAATGTGATCTACATGAACTGGTCTGTTCACAAAATGTTGGTGGGATATAGGGCATTGAAGGAGAAACTAAGTCAAGCATTAAGTGTCTTGGAAAAGCTCTTTCCTTTGACCTTTCTTCGTCATCCCATGTCTTGTTGATTTCTCACAAAAATGTTCCGTTTAACCTACCACTCTAAGAAGTTAAGACAGTTAGGAATCACTCAACCTCTACTTTTACAATTCGTTAACTCTTGCATCTTACCTAGTGTACTTCATTGCTCCCCCTTAGTCTTTCCTGGAATACTCAAAAGTGACTATGTTAGATTGTGCAGGGTATTGACAGTTTTCAGTATGGCAAGTGGTGTGCCACTCAGTCAGATCGTTACTATCATAATCGGTAGACACCTGAACTCATGTGAGAAATGGTTTAAATCCATATTATCTGACTCTCAACACCCCCTTTATTCTCAACTCTCCCTTTGCATCTCATCAAAGCAGGACTAGAAATCACTATAAAAGATTATATGCTTGTACAACCAAGTATAGAAACTTAACGATACCGTATTTGTCCTGCGTCCTATGCCACAGAGATCATTTTTAGCGCGAAACCTAAGAATTACAATGTCACTAGAAAAATTAAAGGCTCTTTTATCCTCTCCCATTACTTGTAATCTATGGTGATACTACTTCAATTAACTTATAATTTTAGATAATAACATTATTATCATTATTCTACAGTTTTTGTACATTTTTAACTTTATTGTCACCGCTAATGCCAAAATAGCTGCTATCATCAATCCTGTAATATTACTTTTTTTTTACTTTTGTCTCTGCTGTTGTTGAGTAAGTGAGATGCGACACTGTATGAAATGCTGAGAATTCCGCACTGTATCATAAGTACTGTTTTTGGAATTAAGCAAATTATTATTATTATTAGGTATTAACTAAACTAATATATCATGTGTTGAGCGTTTCATTTGGTGTAGACTGAATTTTTTAACACAGTCAAGTTTGCAATCGCGAAGTCATCAAGTTAGGTGGCTGGATAAAAGGGTGAGCACACTCTGAACTTTTGTCGTTGTTGTTTTCAAATGATAGTTGAAGGCAATAGGCCACAGGAAACCCTGGATCCATTTGATTCAGTTGGTTCTCACCCACCCATAAAATCTAATAAAACAAGTTATAATTCAAATTTTAATACAAATTTTGGCTGTAGATGGTTGAAAGCTGTTCGAATCCCAGAGGGGACATGAGTTCCTTCATGCTGGTTGTTGCAGGAACACCTTACTTTGACTGACTGGTGAGTGAGTGCCAACGAGCACGAAACCCAGGTCGACTAAGGCTTCCTGTGGCCACTTTTTTCCAACCACCCAATAATAACAACAATCTAGAGTGCACCGTGATGGCGAACAACCAAGTAGCATGGTGATAGCCACCTTGGAAACTGATACACTAACAGAATTCAGTCTACACGAACATGAAGTAGACTAGACGTATGACGCTAGTTCCTTATTACTTGGTATTCAATCAAAGTAAACAGTTAACATTTTCATATCTTCCACTTCTAATGACTATGTTTCACAGTCATAGAGGAGGACAGAGAGAAGTGCTGCTATTGTGCAGTACACACTTTTTCTGACCGATAGTCAGATTTCACACATCTACCTGAGAGATAACGTAAGTTGGCAAATACCACAGGAGATTTTAGTATCCGTGCTGAGATTTAGTCAGTAAAGTGGGAAATGTTGGGTTTAAAAATCACATAATGAAAACTAGTAATGTTAGGTGTTGACATTTGAAGGCGATTGACTGCGTCCGTCAGATTGATGGCGTTGCTATGGGGAGTCCATTGGGGATCCCTTTTAGCAGATATCTATATGTCGTACATTGATAGTTTATAGAAAGATATGTCAGTGACACTGTAATCATAAATGATGCTTAGCCTTTTTCTGCCACTTCAATTTTAAATCGAATGAATGAAGTTCAAAACAGCAGTATATCACTTATGTGTGTAGAAGAGAATGATAATTGTTTATCCTTTTCTAGATAATGTATTGTTTAGTCGACGGATAGTCTGATGGATCAAAATACAACGATCTATTTGCAGAAAACCTACCTGGACAGAATAGTAGCTTAATTACTACACACAGTTTCTCTCTTGTTCGGTACAAAAGAGCTTCAGTGAGACGTCTCTTCAGTAGAGATTTAACGAATATGCACAGATGACTTACACTTGAATATGAAGAGAAGAAACTGACTGGTTGATAATAGTTATCCACAGAACTTCATAAGAAGATATAAGGATAAAAAGTGATCAGTGGAACACCATGATTCATTCTCTAACTTGCCGTTAAGGCGGATGTATATATCAAAGTACCCTACGCATGGGTGATCACAGCAGCTTGGTAACTAGTTAAATATTTAATGTTGCAGTTAAAAAGACTTTTTGTGCAGCTACGATTCGAATAAATGAGAATGTGAAGCCCACATACTGATCTGGACTCTCAAAACATTATAAAACAATGTCAACTCTTACAGTTTATCTACTAATTTAAATGCACTTATGGTCACACATACACAGGAGGGAGGACTCATTGATCTTTGCAGGTAGGAGCTTCAAAGCATACTTCTAAATGGCTTCAGTAGCAAATGGAATCCCCTCTGAACCCATGTTAGAGGTGAGAAGAGACAACCTAGCTCTTCTATTGCGAAACGCATTATACAGGAGATAGCACATAAAATTGATATTTCCACGCCTCTTTTGGGGGAGTATTCTAAAGTCTGTAGAAACCATAGTGACTGGGTTTACGTCTAAACTACCTTTACGTGTCCAAAGCAACAATTTGTCATTACAGTATAAGCCTCCTTGGTAAACTTTGTTTTGATATTAGAGCAGTCGTACTCATTATCTCCCTTCTTTGCTTTTTGCGTCGGTAGCACAGTGGTTAGGACTCTCGCCGACCATGTACATGGTCCGGGGTTCGATCCCCTGCCGACGCACACCCGATATCTATGGCCGGTCTGCAAAATTTGGGCTACCGATATCCATGCTGAAAATTCCATACTTGTACTGAAAATACTGTGTGGAATCAAGCTGCAATCAAAATATTAAATTTAAAAAAATATTAAAATATGATCTCAGTTGTTATTTTGAACTTCAGCATGTACTTTTAACTTGACCTATGTCCCCGTGTGTGTATCATCAGGTTATTAAAAATGTTTGCGCAAATACATCATACACTAAATAATCCAAATAAATTACGTCTTCTTATTGCTTTGTCGAAACATGCTTACACTTATTCTGAAACTGATAAATAGACTTTTAATTCTCACGTCGTTGTGTCTTCTCGCTAGGATAGTAGTGGGCGGTCGGAGATCAGGTAGCTGTTTCTATACGACGATGCGGTATAGCCTAGCGATGTTGTCCTGATTGCCGCGTCTGTGTCCATCTCAGCGTCCGTCCCCTATTCATCAGCTCAATGTATTGCGACATTATATATAACAAGGGGAAATAAAGTGATAAAATCTGAAGACAAAACAGTTCCTATAAGGAGAGGATTACCAGGATGATTGAAGTCCCACCATGAATTCTCTGTCAACACCCACGCACACAGGTCACGTGTTTCAGCCATTTTGGTTGCGATAGCCTAATAAAACTGATGAACGAAACTTGATCGGTTTGGAATGCACTCAATCTTCTGCACTCAGCATAAGAAACAATGATTCAGATTTTCAACACCAAAGTTGAGTGAATCAGCCAGTTCTTCTATACGGGTTAGGAACTTGGCGCGTACATCATGAAAAGCATTTCCAACAGGCTACCGTGGCAGACTTTTTATCAACAGCTCTTTTCCCTGGTTCTAAACTTAACATCAAATAGCTAGCCAAAAAGAATTAGCAACAAGAAACTCTGGCAGGCAAAGAACCCATCAAGAACCTACTCACTACCCAAAAAATATTCCACAGAAATTAGAGATGGATGGGGCACACGCGGAGAAGACGGTCAGGTGACATCGTGCGTCAGTCAGACCATCGCTCGAAAGGGAAACGACAAATGGGGCGCCGGTCCGAAGGTGACAATAGAGGAGATCGTTTGGGGAGGAGGAGATGAGAAACTATGGGTAATCTTGGGACCAACCAGCTGAAGGGGGCAGAAGAGAATACGATGAATCGGAGATGTGCCCTAGTTGAAGCTTTATGATAAATACTTGGTCAAGTAATTATTATTTTCAAGAGTTAGTTCATAGGGATTTGATTTGTTCCTAACTTGACCATGGATTGCTATCAGTTAGAGAATCATTGAAAACCACCAGCCACAAGGAATACTAGACAGCTGTTTTGTCAGCCTACTTTGAAACTCATCAGAATTGCACACCCCTTCCACCAGGGTTTGAACCACCCAGGACCATCCGATAACACGTCAAGCTCTTTGGCGACCATCTAACCACTGGGAACCGACTCAATTAGCATCCCATGAATTCTTACCCCTACGATTCCGTGATTTTAGAGAGATTGGCACCAGGCAATGTCATCGCTGGCGAGTATTTGTCCCCATCGTTTGGTTTTCAATGGTTCTTTAACTGGTATCAGTCCGTGAACAAACTTCAAACGAATCAAATCTCCCAGACAACCTAACAGTTGAGAATCAAAGTAATAAACAAAACGAAGTAAAAAGTGACAAGAGGCTAAGATACTTTTTTGAGTGGGGTGGGGAGGGGGAGAAGAGTTTTGGTGCAAATTTCGCCACAGTAAAGTAAAAAAAAACTACGTCTGAACACTCCATATTAATTTGTTTATTAGAGATATATCACACACAGTGAGTGAAACAGCTTCATTTACTGGATGACGTTTCAAACACAATTTATTATTTGTTCATAATCATATCAGTTATAATCACACAACTCCGAAACTTTCGTTTTACAGTCTTCTTTGATCTCTCCTATTTGTCGTCGTTGGGGTAGTAGAATTTTCCAGATGTCCAGTTTGGACAGGTGTTGAATCATTCCTACTACACGTGTTTGCAGCTGATTCGATAAATAAAGCTTTCATTGTCAATCCCGCTCCCTTCATCTTGTTATATTAGATTTTAAAACTGTCATCTTATCCCATCCTATTGTATGATCGTGTGTAAGTGCATGTATTGAATACTATAGCTGAAATATTCTCCAGATTTCTTGTCTTATTACGGTCAATTAATCTAGATTTTGCTAGGTTTATGGGCTGCTCCGCTAGTCTGGCTGACTAACCCTGTCCTACCATTTTGATCTGACAATCATTCCAGCAGGGTATTAGATAAACTAAATAGTTTTGTTAAATTGGCTCCACAGGATGCCTTAACCAACAAAGCTTGTTTCTAATTGAGTTTGTGGTTGGTTTGAATGCCAGCCACTGTTATTCCTGTCTGTATTGTTAAGAATTCTCCGTGAGGTTTCCGTGGTTCCTTCTTTGTATGGAAGTACTACTGATGATTTATATTCCGTATTGTTGGTGTTAACGCTAGTAAAACAAGAAATCTGGAAAATAGTTCAGCTATAGTACTTCACATCCAGTCACACTCACTAAAAGGATGGGGCAAAATTGCAGTTCTAAAATCTAATATAACAGAGTTGAGGGAGCAGGATTGGTAATGGAAGGTTTATTAATCATCGAATCAACTGATGGAGAACACGTGGAACACATTCAAGATCTTTCCGAGACATCTGGAAAATTCTACTACCCCAATGACGACAAATAGGAGAGATCAAAAAAGACTGTAAAACGAAAGTTTCGGAGTTGTGTGATTATAACTGATATGATTATGAACAAATAATAAATTGTGTTTGAAACGTCATCCAGTAAATAAAGCTGTTTCACTCACTGTGTGTGATATATCTCTAATAAACAAATTAATATGGAATTACATACTATCACAATGCTGCCCAAGTTTTACACATATATTGACGTCTGAACATGTTTTTTAATAGAAAGTTCTGTGTGATTTAGCTGATCTCTTTTTATGTAACAGCTTCAGCAGCTGTATATGTAGAAGACGTAGGTGAACTGTGCATAAGAATAATTTTGGAATGTGGTAATATGTGAAGCAACCAAGAAACCATATCGCTCAATAAATATGCAGAAGGTTAGAACACTAATTTCATTGAGTTTTGCACCTTTGAAATATAAATAGAACACGGTAAAGTGTTGGGTTCATAGGGCTACGATGACAATCCCCTCCAACGACTCTCTCAATAAGAAGCTCACGATTATCAGAGAATTACCCAGAATATATGGTTATCCAGATAAGTTCACTGAGAAAAATATGAATTTAGCACTAAAGTAAGCCGCTAGTATGACAACAGCTTCAAAAATGCCCTTGTTTATGTAACTGCGATTGTCTTGCTGATAACATCAACGAAATAATAACACAGAACCTGAAGAATGAGTGAAAAGATCACATTCAATGCAGCATAGGTATGCTCTACTTTTCTTCACGACACTCCGAATTTAGGTTCGAGAAATGAAGAGAGACTACCTAATTTCGTCTCCTGCTCTATGTGTACTTACTACAGTTTGACTGCAGCTGCGGAGCTCGCTACATTGGGCGTACAACTAGACGGGTTGATCGTCATATTCTCAAACATCATACTGCATAATGGTTAAACAGTGGACAAACAAGATCTATTCGTACCACTGTTTTAGCACATCCTATAGACAGTGAGCATAAAGTTGGTGTTGATACGACGTTTAAAATCATCTATCGGATTCCAACTAATCTTAATTTAGCTTTACGAGTTCTTCTAGATACAACAGCTGAAGCCATCGAAATCAACTCCTGAAGAAATCAAACCTGTGCGTGAATTCAGAAGCAATTCGTACAACCGCTTTCTTTACCTAGGGGCAATCATTAATTACATGAATGTAAAACACTGGCAATTCTGAGAAATTCGTCTTTAGATGAATAGAAAAACCTGACAATTTCTCTATTCTTGAAAGCCTTCTACAAGTTATCATTGTCCAAATTATTTTATTTCTCCGACTCCTTCATCTTTAATTCCCTACTACGTAATCAACTGAATCACTCAGTTATTTTAAATTACTCTATTCTTTCCAAAATTATGCATTATGAAATCCAATAGTCGTAACCATTTCTACCCGTTTGATTGCTTGCATTAATTTTCCTGGTTAATTATCACCCCGGGTTTGATATGTTGATATTGATTAGATATTGTTAGCAAACCTATCGCCATTATATTAGTAAAATAAATTTATGTAAATATTTGTTCGCGTTTAGTCCTTTTTCCTTCAAAATGTGTAAATGCGGAGTTTTCTATACAAATCGGAGATACTCACTGAGAAGACCGTTGAATTACACCACGCAAAAACCGGAGCCATCGCCCGAGTGAAACGCGACGAGCAGAAACTGCGAGTTGGGCATGGGTTCAAAAGATTGACATGAAGGAGAGAGTGTGTGATAGTGAGGACGTGGAAATGAAAGCTTGCAGGGAATTCTGGAGCCACGTGGACAAAGCTTCAGTGAGCCAGGTGGAATGGAGACATATTACTGATTGTCTCCCACTTCTGGTTTTTAGTATCCCAAAGACCCCACCCAACCCGCCAGATAGTCTACTCCCCTCTACCTGTGGCTAGTGCTCAAAGATTTCATGGAATGATGCCTTGTTTTGCTTTGACCATCACTAGCACTTTTCCAACCTGATCCTGTGCCAGCCAACATTTCTCGTCGAGGAAGGCGATGGCTACGCACGCGTGTCCTAAACATCTGCTCATTCGATGCATCTGCTTTACGACCTCACCGCCAATGACTTTCTTTACTCCTCATCTAACACTCAACGTCTACCTATTTCAATAATAGTCACCCCATTACACCACCTAACACGGTGGATAGAATGCAGACACACCTGTAATCAAAGACACCTAGCCTTTTCATATCTCCCACATTCAATAGCCATGTGTCACTCACAGCCATAAAGAATTGGGTAGCTTGTTGGGTTATTGCGATATTCAAGCCCCTGGAGACTACCAGCACCACGTCAAGACAGTAGTTATTAGTTTGCGGAGGGGATAAATACACCACCACTTATTCACTGGCAATGCAGGAGTATATCCAGATGACGACTGCTCCTGGATTCCCACAGCTAGCGACGACCACCTATCGATCAATCGAATAGCATGATTTTATCAGAAGCAACCTCATATATAGAGACAGATATACACTTACCTGGAAATAATAGACTGGATTTATCGCTTCAATGATATATGAACCAGAAGGAATATTTGTCACTTCGAAACTCCCGTCCGACCTGACAAAACCAACATACTGATCCCCGGCGACATTAATTCTTGTATTAATATGCCAATCCGACGGAGCTTCTGTAGGGACAACAACCGTTCCTTCGATGACATAACCAGAAGATTGATGAAAATGTAAAGGGATAAGCAACGCAATGACTATAAACCACATTTTTGCACAGGATAAGTTTATCACTCCGATGATTCCAAGTACGAACACAATATGCGATACTGTAGAATATGTCAATTGAGCTGTAATCAGGAGAAAAATGGAGATTGGTAAGCCAATAAGCGAAATCATGACATTCTGTTCGAAAGGTTCGATGGAAGGCCATAGATAACTTTGAAGGCGTTTCTTCTGTTTTGCCATCACCAATCAAATGAGACAAAATAGAACTTCTTATAGATTTTACTTGGCTTTTCCTAAACCATGAAGGAAGATGCTCACTAATACGTTTGTTGAGCTGTCTAGTTATTTGTCATATATAGCCTTCTCTGTAAAAGCTAAAGGAGTTTGATTCAGCTTGTACGTGGTTTTTGACTATATATTTTGGTGGTTAGTAAAGTCTGAGTAATTCTGCTGAGGAAGTTGTAGCTTACACACAGAAATGTTTGCAGAAAAATCTTGTTTTGATTTCTCAGACACGCTGGGATTATCATACGTGATGTAATGATTAAGTCTGGCTCAGCGCTCAAATTATTTCGAGAAATTTGTAACACCTACTGTTTGGATATTTATAATCTTATGTGCCATGACAGAGAAAATAAATCCAATAAAATAAAAATATGTATATCGTGTTCCCTCAATGTATCCCGCTCGGGGTTCAAGCCTTACTCAACCTAATTTAACCTAGGCAACTAAGTGGTAGTATCACCATATATGAAGCAATAAATGTAGTTTGTAACAAGGTGCCTAACAAATGCAATTCATAATAATGAGTACAAACAATGAAATAAATTACATAAAACAAAGTTCAATAACCAGTTTTTTAATTGTGAGGAGCGAGGAGACAGGAGCACGATAGATCAATGAAAAGACTACAAGATTTGGACTTCGCGGATGACTTATGTCTCATGTCACATAAATTCGAAGACTTATGGGAGAAAATCATTCCTAAGTGACACTAAAGCGCCAAGTATTTATGATTAATTAGATACTGCGATCGCTATTATTTACATATCTAGCTATTATCAGTGCAAAACGAAACAAAGAATGGAGCTAGTCTCCCGAGTCTTACAGACTAGGGGATGTAACGCATACTTTCAAAAGCCCCACTATTCAGACTTCCAATATCCAATTTCTTTTTTACGAGCTAATATAAGCCAATTTGATTTCTTTAAGCTCGCCTCTTGATTGTGAGGTATAGGTTCCTGATATTCGGTAAACGTCTGCGTAGCTCGTCCCGCCACTCGACTGTCGTAGCTTTGGCTGACTCCAAAAGGAGTAGTGATGGGATTAATTATACGTGGTTTGTAGTATGAGGTGTTTTAAGACTGTTACTACTGTGAATGGAGTTGATCCTTTCACCAGTTAGTCTTCCGGTATCGTGGGAGGTGTTCATCATTGTTGAGTAATTGCTCCACGGTCTTTTTGCCAGTTTCTGTCCAATTGAGGAGGCGGCTGAATCAGGTAAGGAATGAACCCGGGTTGTTTCGATTCTAGTTGAGGAAGCTACTGAGTGTAGGAAGATCTGAGAAGTTAACTGAAACGGGGTGGCTGCTATTCGGCAGATATGGTGTTGGGGACTTAAGAGAACCACCCTTATCTGTCGGAAAGCGCTCTATCCTTAAAGTTCCTGATTTTGAATAACTTCAACAAAAAGAAAACTAAAAGCTGTCTGAATACCTCAACAATACCAATAGGTAATTCTCGAGATCTGCTTCCAACTGAATAATTCATGAGATATAGCATCAAATCTAAACTGTAATTGAAAAAAATACGGTATGTCAATTTCACACGGGAATTATAAACGATTACGTTAATTGTGGAAGTCAAGTAGCATTTTTGTACAGGTGCTGACGTGAAATATAAGAGATGCAGAATGAACAGTAATTGTAAGTAAATGATTCATAGAGTGTCTGAAAGTCCATAAAACTTCAAAGTCACCGGTAAGTACACCATAATTGTGACATTTCCAGTTGTATATGAGACCAACTTTGAACTCGTCAGCAGATTTCATGATAGAGGTGGTTCCGTTATTCACCAGGTGGGCTAACAATATTCCGAATTAGTTGAGGATAGCGGCACTGTTTCAGTGCCTTCGTTTAAGGCAGTACATTTGAAAAGAGAAGAAGACACAAGAAAACCGCCAGAGAGGTGCAGAAGTATATAAAAGGTGTTAATAATTCAAAATATATATAACAAACATGGGGTTCATCATTTTTTATCGTTTTTTTCATTAAAAAATACTATTTCCCCCTGAGGTTTTAGTGATGGAATTCTAGTCTTTCTTGCGAAAAGAAAAAAAGTTTAAGTGAAAAAAGGTGATAATTTTACCTACTTATATAGGTTGAATAGGAGTTGAACACAAAAGTCAAAGTGCGTGAACTATGTAGAAAAAAGAGAGGGCTTAATAATAACTACTGTTTTTCTGAAGTATACATTTAGGTGTCCTTCTGAAGCAGGGGACTCATACCATGTACTTGCATTCGGGGAGTTTGTTATTTAAACTTCAGCTTTAGGCAAATTTTCAACTTGTTGTCTTTTTTGAAAAATTTTTAAAATTTTATTTATTCTCTTATCTTGCAGAAGCCATTCGAACTCAGGAGCCTTAGCAACAGAGTGCTGTCCCACGGATAAGGGTGGTTCTCGTATGTCCACACCATCATATCCGCTGACTATCAATCACCACCCTCCCACACGAAGGGTCAAAGTTCAAGTCAAAGAAACAATCAGTTCCAATACAAGTAGCCTAGAAGGAGTGAAAACACACAAAAACAATCAATCACATCCAAGGTTACCAGTAGAGATGATTAATAAATTCCTGGAGAAGTCTAAAAGGTCACTTCAAGTTGAAGTATGCGCTGAAGATGTTGCCTAGTAGAACAATGAAAGCTTCGCAAATAAACTATCTGGCTCGGAGAACACAACCATATCGAATTCATCCAGCTGAGCTAGAAATCTTCTCCATTATATCCTAATTTTCTGTCTTTGTGATTACCACTTTACTTTACCTTCAATAAAACAGTTAGCTACGGTAACCAGCTCCAACTGCTTCGAGCTCATTTCCTATTAACTTCAGCTAGCAGTAACGCTCACAATTGTTATGTGGCCATCTATTGCGCTAGGTTTGATCTATGACCCAACTACCTGGTGACTTCCGCCTGTCCCACCAAAACCAGTCCCTAGGCTGTTCTAAAGACTGCTACAACCAGAGAGAGGAGAACATAACCCTTAGTGCTGTCTCAGGATGTATTTATTAGCAGTGGCATTGAGAGAAGACGAAGATACACAACTTCATCGCTAACCTCTGATTCCGGTTGATGACAAATGCTATCGCTATCGCTCCTGTTTCGTTCGTCTTTCATTGATCAGAACAGCGGCGGACTGTTGGATTTTTCTATGTGTATGTCTTCTAATATTTTTATCCTCAGACTAATAATAAAGTGTGATACCGTGTCACAGTTGCCTACATTCACTGATACTGTTTGTGCGTAATTGAGTAAATCCAGCTCGTTTTCATGACATTTTTCGTAGTGGTAATGTTTCACACCTCAAAACAAGAGTAAAGTATGATAACTGAATTTATTGTATAGTTAAGTCAGATGTTATCACGCCTCTTAATCATGCAAATATCTAGTACATATAAATGAATAATTATTACTCGGCGATATCCTACGAGGTGGTGAACAGTGAACTTATTCCGCATTTCTCTTAGAAATAAGGCCGACTAGTTAACCAGCTTGCTAGATTTATAGCCGGTCTAAATCCTGAGACAAGGAAGAAGGTTGAGCGCCGCGCTAACAACCTTACGCCACAAAGGCCGTCGGACTGCCAGCGAAAACGCACAAAAAATTCGAATAACAAGCTTATTCCTTACTTGAATCGGAGAAGCGGAATGACACAGCGGGGCTGATGAAGGTCTTGGGGAAGCCAGTCAGCCAGGCGATGTGTCTTCTCCCTGTTTATGAGACCAAGAATAAGAATAGGGACGTGGAACTTCAGTACAATGCGCGACGCTCTGGGAAGGCTGCCGAGGTGGACAAAGAATTACGAAGATATGGTATAGAAGTACTGGGTATAGTGTTAGCAGATGGAATGGACTGTCAAAACTGTCAAGTGGAGAGTCAGTAATCTACTCCAGTTTGGTCACCCATGAGCACACTGAGACAGTGAGTGGCTATCGTGATGTCACCAGTGGCAGACAGAGCCCCAATGCTACAAACAACGCGAAATAAGAGAGGAATGAAGATTTTCACGGTGAACTACAAGCAGTAATGGACAACATCTCAAATGGTGACATCAAAATCCCCATCGGCGATATGACTGCGAGCTGAACTAGGGCCCGATGATACAAGAAGAGGACCCATCACGGGTCGACAGGCACTCATCTGGCAAGATGAATGAGAACAGAGAATTATTCACAGGCTTTTGAGCTTTCAATGATTTGGTGATCGGAGGCAAAGTGTACAAACACAAGGACATGCACAGAGCAACATGGATTTCGCCTGACGCACACACCACAAACCAGGTAGATTTCAACTCGATGTCGCTCAAGGAAGTGGCGATGCAACCTGTTAAAGAGAAAACTGACATGGTCGGGCGTACACTGAGGAAACCGTCGAATGATATTGTGAGTCAGGCCATAGCTCGAGTGGAATCGCAATAGGAAGCGAAGAGTGGATCGTCCTGGGGTGATATGGAGGAGATCGTGTGTAGGGGAGGAGAAGATAGCAGATTATGGGGAATCGTGTAGCCAGCCGAGGAGAACGGCAGGAAATAGAACAAAGTGGAGATGGGATGTTGATGCCTTATGTTTCACTCGGAACCCAAGGGAATACTAATCAAGCTCTTAGGAATGCCTAGCCATAATGAGATCTCTCAATTATTTGCATCCAGCGGGAAGGTACGAATGGTTTTATTTGGGCGAAGAAATCCGGAATTCACTTACGAGCATTTTGGGACTAATTACCAAGCTGATTTAAATTATCAGCTAGAGGGGTTGATTCTACATAAAACAACAGAGGAAAGTAAACTAACCCATTCGCTAATGACTGTGCAGGCATCTTTTGTTCCATTTAGCGTTACTGGATAACTTTGGATGTTGGCGTCCAGTTCTGTTTGCCCGAATTGAAAAATAATTCAAGCTTGATGCAGTTTGGACTGTGGACAATTTCCTCAGTATAATGAGAGATACCTCTCAAACAAGGATTTTCATTTTGGACTGTGCTCAGTTCATATATGTCAATAAACTTACCTGCGTGGCACTGAAATGAAACTCTGGTTCTAATATGCTTCTGTTCTTTTTGATATACTTGCGGTGGGAGCGCGGCATGCCAGACCGCTACCCCTTGGTTTATGAACTCGTTACTGTACGTAGGGTTAATTCCGTAGGAACGCCGTCGATTAATATGGGTGATAATTTGCAGAGGCTTAAGCCTAGACATCTTTAAGTTACGTGGTTAGGTGTCCTAACCACGACGGAATTTGCAGGAACCAAAATTTAAGAAAAGGACTTAGGCGCTGTGATAGCGTACGATCTTGTCACAGATTAATTGAATCTAAAGGTAGTACGCTACTGCTATTTCGGTTAAAGAGTGATCTGAATCTATATGATTACAACCCGTAAGGTATTACACTACGAATTACTTCCTCAGTTCCCATTATAAGGCAGCCCCTCATCTCGTCATGATAACAAATTCATTTTCACTCAAATAGGACGAGAAAATTATATCAAGCAGGATGAGAGGTATATTTAATGAAAAACGATAACCGACAAATGTATATACAGAATCGTTTGTCGTAATTATTTCGGAGGTGTTCAATTGCTGTGACGAGGTTGACTTGTGCTATCAAACTTCTATAATAATGATAATTTATATTACGTATAAACGGGTAAGTTTACAAGAAATGCATGCCATTTTTACATGCACCATCAGTTATGTTCTAAATTACAATCCTGAAGTATCATAAATTAATTCATTTTCAAAAGTTCAAATTGTTCGATTATTGTACAAGCGATCATAACAGGCTGTTATAGATGTTAAATTGTGAACCCTTTACTAAGGTCATCATCAAAGTTGATCG